TACATGTACTTTTCCTCTCACATACACATATGAAACCAAATTCATTCACATACTATAATGAAATGCTCACACACATACAAGTGAAATGCTTTTACACACACAACTGAAACGCTCTCATACATACAAGTAAAAAATATACGCTCACACACACAACTGAAACGCTCACACACACACACAACTGAAAAGCTCTCTCACACACAAGTGAAACCCTCACACACACACAACTGAAAATATTACGCTCACACACACACAACTGAAACGCTCACACACACACAACTGAAAAGCTCTCACACACACAACTGAAACGCTCTCACACACACAACTGAAACGCTCACACACACACAACTGAAATCCTCTCACACGCACAACTGAAACGCTCACACACACACACAACTGAAATCCTCTCTCACACACAGCTGAAATGCTCTCTCACACACAGCTGAAACGCTCTCACACATACAAGTGAAATGCTTTTACAAACACAACTGAAACGCTCTCGCTCACACAACTGAAAAGCATTTCGGTTGTGTGTGTGTGAGAGCATTTCAGTATGTTGTATGCAAGCATTTCAGTAGTGTGTGTGAGAGCATTTCCGGTATGTTGTATGCAAGCATTTCAGTAGTGTGTGTGAGAGAGAATTTCAGTTGAAACGGAAGGTGGTTGAAGTCCCCAGTCCAGTTGGTGGCAGTAGTGCACCTCAAGACGAAGAACTAGAAGCTGTAGAAAGCATAGTAAAAACGCGCGCAGCCGCGCACCTTTCACAAAGCACCGTTCGTCACAAATACTGTATTAATAATAAAGTGAAAGAAAATAAACATAGAAGAGTCTTGTGTTTTTTGCCAATCTAATAAGGAGACAATTTTTCATTTATTTTATCACTGTATGTACACAAAACAATTTTGGTCTGATTTGGAAGAATATATAATTACAAAATTGAATGTAAACATCAGAATCAATATTTTTGATGTCATGCTTTTTGATGTCATGATTTTTACTTTTGTGGTTTGTCAAAAAAAATGATTTTTGTCATTCAGTTGTTTATTATCCTTGGAAAATACCATATTCACAAATGTAAATGGTCTAATTCACAACCTTGTTTTAAGGGATTTCATTTGGACTTTAAATTATATTATAAAACAATAGAAAACATGGAAAACATGAAAGCTACAAGAACATTTTATCTCCTGAAGGAACTGCATATTTTTAATTTTTTCCCCTTCTATAATTATATTAATTTATTTGTTATTATCCTCTGGTCTATACACTATTGATTTAATTTTGTTGAACAGGTTACATTATCTGTAGTGTTCTCTGTACCTATTGTCCTGTGTATTGTTCAGAATAAAGTAAAAAAAAAAAAAAAAAAAAAAAAAGCACCGTTCGTTCGCTCGCAATCGCGTAACAGCAATGTCTGCTCAACAGCAAAGAACATTAACCGAGGCAGCGGGCTTGCTGAGCACCATATTAGCCTCAGCGGAGTCCATACGAACCCTGTCAAATGCCACCACACTCGGGCAGCAACCGACCGTTGCAACTCCAAGTGTGGTGGACACGATGGACAGCCACCTAGCCTCGCTCTCCCCTACCCGCCAGCCAGCGTAGCGGCGTGCCAATGCAGGTCACTTATTGCCAACTGGGTTCGTATGGACTCCGCTGAGGCTAATATGGTGCTCAGCAAGCCCGCTGCCTCGGTTAATGTTCTTTGCTGTTGAGCAGACATTGCTGTTACGTAGCGCGATTGCGAGCGAACGAACGGTGCTTTGTGAAAGGTGCGCGGCTGCGCGCGTTTTTACTATGCTTTCTACAGCTTCTAGTTCTTCGTCTTGAGGTGCACTACTGCCACCAACTGGACTGGGGACTTCAACCACCTTCCGTTTCAACTGAAATGTGCTTCCGTTTCAACTGAAATTCTCTCTCACACACACTACTGAAATGCTTGCATACAACATACCGGAAATGCTCTCACACACACTACTGAAATGCTTGCATACAACATACTGAAATGCTCTCACACACACACAACCGAAATGCTTTTCAGTTGTGTGAGCGAGAGCGTTTCAGTTGTGTTTGTAAAAGCATTTCACTTGTATGTGTGAGAGCGTTTCAGCTGTGTGTGAGAGAGCATTTCAGCTGTGTGTGAGAGAGGATTTCAGTTGTGTGTGTGTGTGAGCGTTTCAGTTGTGCGTGTGAGAGGATTTCAGTTGTGTGTGTGTGAGCGTTTCAGTTGTGTGTGTGAGAGCGTTTCAGTTGTGTGTGTGAGAGCTTTTCAGTTGTGTGTGTGTGAGCGTAATATTTTCAGTTGTGTGTGTGTGAGGGTTTCACTTGTGTGTGAGAGAGCTTTTCAGTTGTGTGTGTGTGAGCGTTTCAGTTGTGTGTGTGAGCGTATATTTTGTACTTGTATGTATGAGAGCGTTTCAGTTGTGTGTGTAAAAGCATTTCACTTGTATGTGTGTGAGCATTTCATTATAGTATGTGAATGAATTTGGTTTCATATGTGTATGTGAGAGGAAAAGTACATGTATATGCATGGCATTTCTGAATAATGTCCCTAGGGGCACCTCATACAACTCGAGCCGCTCATCGTCACAGTAATGTTACGTTAATGTACGTATAACTTACTGGACACATCAATATGCAGCTAGCTAGTTTCAATAGTGTCAATTAAAGTTTATGTAAGCTATAACTTATAAATAGCCTCCATCATTCCAATTAAGGCTAACGTTAACTTAACTCTTAATAGAGTCATGTACATGTGGCGCACAACTCGAGCCGCTTACTGGACAGTGGACACACATAATTATGCAGCTAGCTAGTTTCACTAGTGTTAACGTTTACTTAAGCTATAACTTATGTCATCTAACGTTCTTTGCGTTTGGGGTGATTACAAAAATAAGTTAATTTATCCCATTAGTTTAATCTTGAGCCCAGTTTAAAATGTGATCCTTATGTGTTCGCCTTCCCAGTTAACTAACATAGGCTTAGCATTTTGGCTGTACAACTGCATTTAACAAACAAGTGATTAACGTTAACGTTAGTGATTTTCTTGTCGAGCACTAACTTAACGGTCACGTTAAACTTCACATCAAGTTAACATGAGAAAGCTATCTCTGTAATGTTCAAAAACCGCGGAATTGATCTGAGCTCAAAACAGAGGCGATTTTTATGAAAATGGGTACTAAAACTTTGGAATTCTACTTACTTTTAAATCCAGCAGTAGCACAACGATCTCTTCCAAATCCAAATGCAGATCGCGATCGCGATGGCCGTGTAGAACAGTAATGGCTGACAAACGAAACTTAGGGAGCAGAAGATTTTGGGGAGGAGTCACAGTTACTCTATAATTTTGCTCCCACTCTATGGACACATTTTACTCTGTTCACTCAAAATAGATAAAAAACAACTCTTTTTGAGGAAAAAAAATAATTACTCTGGAAAAACTACTCTGCTATTTTTCCTGTGTGTGTACACAAAATGTGTTACAATTTTAAATTTAAACCAATTAATCCTTATAAATAAAAAATGTATATCATTCTTTAAACAACTGAAAAAGTGGAGAAAGTCTTAGTTTCTTGAAATATACTGTGTATTGATTAACCCCATTAAGTTTAACAAATTAGCTCATTATCAGGTAAAATAAAGATGGAATCCGCATGCAGTCACTAAATTACAGCCAGATATTTTAAAGCTCTAGAGGCAACAAGTCAAACAAGACTCGAGAATGATTCAAATGTTTTATTATATTTGTGCAATAACAACAGCACCAACAGACCTTTTGCATAAGGTGGTGCACAGTCTGTAGGATTCAACTCTGAGAGAGAGAGGGAGAGGGGGGGGGGGTAATAATTAAATAAGAAACATTTGTTTAACATGTACTAAAATATAAATCTCTAATTTAATACTTATGCACTGTTGAAGTTGTAGAGAGAGAATGCCTAATTCCAAACTCCAAATTTGTAAGAGTAATATATACCTTTATTTAACCAGAAGAAAACTTGTTGAGATTAAAAATCTCTTTTCCAAGAGATACCAAGAGATATTTCCAATACCCACCAATTGCATGGTCTCCCTTCTTTCCTCAACTGTTTGTCGATCTTTCTATTAAATTCTTCAACTTCACTGAAATAGTTATCAGAGAACAATCAGTGTTGTGTTAACAGAAATATCAGTAATAAAAGGATGCACTGGGAATTGTGCAAAAAATAATTCGTAATCTACTCTGACCTGTAATGATAATCTGGACCGGAAAGAAAGACCTGCTCAGCCTCCTGCAAGGAGACATTCCGGAGATGAAACATAGATGAATCATATAAAACATGAAATAAAAAACAGCACAAGGTGTTAAAACCAGCAAGTGTTACAGATATTAACATAATATTGTTTAGTGGTGGTGGCACTTTGCTCTGCTTCAAGTCGCTAACAGCCATTTGAGCTTCCACTGCTTCCTGAAAAATATCAACCTTCGTGCGCAGTGCGACGCGCAAAAAAAAAAAAAAAAGTAAAAATAGTAAGTATGTGTTTGTGATACAGCCGCGATCAGAGATTCACGGCAAACGCAGCATATGTGAAAGCACTATTAGTACCCGTTCCTGCACTACAAACGGGGTATGTGTGAAACGGGCGTTAGATGATAGATCCATCTACAGTTTTAGAAACTATATATATATATATATATATAAGAATGAAAGTATCATAGTTGGGTTTATTCAGGATAAGCATTTACAGAGGTACAGATTATGAGTGTAGTGTTTTATAAATTATCTACATATAAATATCACCTGAGAATTGATTGTATAGTTGTGGTTTGCTATTGGCTGATCTCATGTGAGTGACAGGTTGCCCTGCCCTCATCATCCGAGAAGAGAAGAGTTGCTGCAAGAGGAAGTTATTCTCATTCAAGATTATTAAAACACTGATAAATAATTTAGAATAAACACTGCAATATTCCATTAGAAAATAACAATGAATGACACTTTATATTGGGGTGGATCATGTCTTTGCAGCGACGGTGCAGCCATTTGTGCTGAAGAGCGTCCAGGAGAACAATAAAGCTCTCGCCGTGGCGCTGCAGACAGAGCGGGAGAAGGTACGGCAAGCACAGGGGGTCATTCTGCACCTGAAGAAGGAGAGGCAGGCGCTCGTCTTCCACCTGCTGATGCTGAAGAGGACGCTTCGAGACCGCACGCCGGCTGAACACGCTCAAGTGAGACGTCCTACACACACACGCTGCTGAGTCACGGCACTGCTGAGTCCTGAAGGGAAATGGGCCGGGCAGTTTAAATATTGTGTTTAGTTAACTTAATCTGGATTCGATGATCACATGTGAGTGATCACAATTGCATGGGTTATCTTAAAATACTCTGTGGTTACTCAGATAAGGGGAAACATCATTCAGCCGTGCAAATTATAAAATGCTTACATAATACTGAACAATGAATCACTATGGCTTAGTGATTATGAAAGTGATTATGAAAATTTGTGGATCACTGGGGCCCGTTTTTCGTACGTTGCTTAAAACATCCGAGATCATATATGAGGCATCCAAGATAATATCATCGTGCTCATCATGATCCGGCTAATTGGGTAGGGTTCTTCGATCACGCCTGCCGGTTATAATTAGTATAGCTGGATTGAGTCATCTGAGATAACTGCGCGTTCTTGCGTTGGTTTAAAAGGGTACATGTATCGATATCAGAAATAGTGATCAGCAACGCTGCTATTGGGTGTTCAGCATGGCCAAAGAACAGCCCCAGTTTTTCTCCTAAACAGAGCAAGAGCTTTTAATGCAAGGTTATGCCGAATTTCAGTCTTTAATTAAAACGCCAGGGAACACCTCAAAGTGTGCAAAAGCCAGGAGGGAGTGCTGGCAAAAGTAGAAGACAAATTAAATGCGTTTGTGGTGGCCATGTTAGATGTTTTAATAACTTATTATTATTTTATTTTTATTTTCATCATTTCATAATTACTTTGTTTATTGTAATGAGTCACCACACTATAATAATGGACGTACAAAAATATTCTACTTTAAGTTGGCATGAAATCAAATTTGACTAATCTTCTTTTAATATGTAATATTTTTGTGTTTATTATAAATGATTTATCCGTGCACTTCATTATTTTTTTAAAATTCATGTAGGGCTGGACAATTAACCGAAAATAATAATCGAAACCGAAATTCAGAGCCTATAACCGACGTGATTTTACCATGTCGGTTATTTCAGTTTTTGAATACTATTAATATATCCGCCCACTGTGCGTTAACGTACTTTCCCCTTTAAACATAGTAGTCACGTCACTCCACTCCGTCCAGTCAGCGACATTGAAACAACATGAGCCCCTTTTCACACAGCGTTGATCCCGGGAAATTGACAGAACAAACACCTGTGTGAATGCAAACACGGCCCGGGATTGGTGCCACCAGGTTGGGGACAGAGTAACAATTGCTGTGTTCAGTCCATGGTTTAGTCACGGAGCGCGCACTGTGTGAACAAAAGCCGTAGCATTCTGGCCGTCTCAGCCATGGTTTTCGGAGTTAATTCCTCTGCTGGAATCGCCCCCCTGGAAGATTCCAGTCAGAGAGGATCTGCTTTCCCAATTTCAGGGCAGGATTTGGCATCCTCGCCCGGACATGTGGAAGCTGTACGTTTGGCCATTCAGGACGTTCAGGAGACCATCGCTAGTGCTAGAGCTCTTTCTACAAGGAGACTGTATTCTTCCAAATGGAAGGTTTTCGTGTCTTGGTGCTTGGCATGTGATAGGAACCCAGTTAACTGCCCTGTCGCTTCAGTGTTGGAGTTCCTGCAAGAGAGGTTTTCCTCCGGGGCGGCGGCCACCACCCTCAGGGTCTATGTTGCAGTCATTGCGGCACATAGAGAGTCAGATGAGATTCCTTTGGGTAAACTGAGGTTAGTTTCGGCCTTCATGCGTGGGGTTAGGTGCCTGAAACCAGTTAGCTCCCCTAGAGTTCCCTCATGGATCTTTCTGTCGTCTTGGAGGGTTTAAAGGAGGCCCCCATCGAACCCTTAGAGCATGGGTCACCAAACTAAGGCCCGCGGGCCGAATCAGGCCCGCCACACCCCTTTGACTGGCCCCCCAACCCCTCTGCCCCCCACTACTTGAACCGGCAATCCCCAAAAGTCGTCATGGCCTATTTTTTTAAATTGCTTTTTGGAAAATAATAACATGTCTGCATTTGGTATTTTGTTGTTTATTGAGCATGCTCACCTGGATAGGCATAAGAGCTGACTAGTTCTATTACTCATGTTGTTGTTATAATTTCAATGTTTATTTATTTATTTTATAGGCCTATTTATTTGACCTTTATTAAGTGCTGTACACAATTATTATAAATAGTAACAGGCCTACCTATAATTTATAATTTTTCATTCATCCTTACCAGTGCCACTCATCTCAACTAGGCAGATGTTTCTTACCTTGACAGGTTTGATGTTATTTGTATTCGAAAATAAATAAATGGAAAATCTGTGGTATTTCAAATTAAAACAAAGTGTGAAGACTACTTTTGCAAACAACTATTAATGATAAACAAATATGGCTGTGCCAGGCTAGTAATCTCTACTATGAGGCCTGCTGGTGGTCAGTTTGGTCTTGGTCACACAATTCTATTTTATATAGCCCCGGCCCCCCATCACAGTCAGGAACGATAATGTGGCCCCCAGAGAAAAAAGTTTGGTGACCCCTGCCTTAGAGTCAGCTCCGGATCGGATTCTGACTCTTAAGGTGTCACTTTTGTTGGCTTTATCTTCTTTAAAGCGGGTAGGGGACTTACAGGCTCTTTCTTTTAGCGAGTCATGCTTAGACTTTGCTTCCGGGTTAGTCAAAGTTTTCCTTGAGACCTAGGCCAGGCTATGTTCCTAAGGTTCTCTCCACAGCGTTCCGCTCTCAGGTTGTTAGCCTTAACGCTTTCCACCCTCCGGGAGGAGGATAGGAAGCTTAATCGGCTCTGCCCAGTTCGGTCTTTGAAGTTTTATGTAGACCGCTCCAGCTGTTGGAGGAAATCTAACCAGCTTCTGGTTTGTTTTGGTGCTGACCGCCGTGGGCTTGCTGCATCGAAACAGAGGATTTCTCATTGGGTCACAGAAGCGATATCGATGGCCTACCAGGGGCGTGGTTTGCCTTCGCCTTTTGGCATTAGAGCACATTCCACCAGGAGTGTGGCATCCTCTCAAGCTCTTTTCAGGGGAGCTCTCTTAGAGGACATTTGTGTTGCGGCCGGCTGGTCCTCTCCGCACACTTTTGTACGTTTCTACAATTTGGATCTTGACATGACCCCGGGTTCCCAGATTCTTTCTGTTTGAACTGTTTATAGTCATTATCTTATCGATACCAGTCATTACAGCGCCCTTTGCTTGGCAAGTTTGGCATCCCGTTCCCACTGCGCTATCCGCAGTGTTGAGTGACCCTATGAAAGAGAACGTCTCTAGTTACTTACTTAACCTATGTTCTCTGAATAGGGAACGAGACGCTGCGTGAGCGGCCAAGCTCCTCGCGCTGCTGACAGTCTTCTTTTCGGCAGAGAAATCTGAGGGGAAGATGGCGCACGCGCGTATATGATTATGCAACGTGATTGCATCGGGGCAGGGCCAGATTGCGCGAGCGCCATCAGCCAATGAATTGGCGTGATTCTATTGGGCTTCAGACAATCGGCATATTCAGAAAATATCCCACTGCGCTATCCGCAGCGTCTCGTTCCCTATTCAGAGAACATAGGTTACGTAAGTAACTAGAGACGTTCTCTTTCGGGCTTGAACAAATCATTAGACACACAAGTTATGGCAAAATGTCCGTTTTGTCAAATGTCCTCAAGAGCTGTCTAAAATGATTTAAATAAAGTCTTAAATGAACATTTGTGAGAAAATGGGACGCGTGTCAGGTTGCGTCTCTCTCTCCCACATTGCACTGGATTAACGTGTAGCCTACAGCTTACGCTCAACGGCTGTCAGAATACACTCACTCGTTTTCATTCACTCCTTCAAGTGAACAGTATTAGTGGACTAACTTAGGGAATAATAAGCCTAACTTAGTGAATGATTGTTTAGGGGGCGATTTCGGATTCAACCCATGTTCTCAAGCAGTGAAAAATAGAGAAACCAATGAAGAAAACCGGAAAGTAAAACAGATAATTCTATAATTAAATATGCAAAAAAGATCGATACTTGGCGCCCGTGTATAGATACAGTATTGCCACAGAAAATATCACGATACTATGCTGTATAGATTTTTTTTTTTTCCCCACCTCACTAACGTTTATTCAGCTAATGCTGTCCTGTTTAAAATGTGCAATGTTCAAATGCAAAGACAGCACGGCACAAATTAAAGCCCTGTTTTCTGTGGGATTTAGTATCATATTTGGATAATGTCTCAAAAAATGATGTGAAAAATAAAGCCACAGATCTCGACCTGCGGTTAGAAGAGTTTCCAGTTTGCATGATGTGGACTCAATACATCCTTATCTTGAGCAAATAAGCAAGCTGACATTCAGTGCAACCTGTGTCTTTTATTGAGAATACATGCAAATGCCATTTATGTCTTTGAGTTTAAGAGATTTAACGTGTAATTTTTAAAGAGTGCGCATGTGTGAACGAGCTCTAGTGTGTGAGAACTAGCCTGTGATGTAATCTGGAAATTAAAGCAACACTAAAGAATATTTTTTACCTTAAAATAATGTTTCCAAAATCATATTAGGTTGATCCAGTCGTCTCTGAGTGAGAGCTCTTTTATATCCGCTATATCTGCAATATCTGCTTTATCCGCTTTAACCGCTATATCCACTTTATCCGCTATATCCGCTATATCTGCTATATCCGCTATTTCCGCTATATCTTCTATGCTATGATATATTGTTGTTTTTTCTGATGTTACAATACTTTCATGAAATCGTTCAACGTGCTGTACCTTGTCTGTGGACATCGTTCACTCTATAGCTGCCGCTGATTTACAGCGAGTGAGCGGCAGGAGGCTAATCTCCTCAGCGGTTATGGACAGTTCCGCTTCCGGCTTGTAGGGCGACCGCTGAGAAGCCGTTCCAGTGTTGCTTTGAGGAAAATGAGAAACAGTCCTCTGGTGCCATGTCTGGAATTTATAGTAAAACAGAGTGTTATTTCGATCTCAGACAGATTCATTAACAGGGGTTATCACTCCAACGCCTGTGAGACATCATTCAATGACATTCAAAGACATCATTGACCCCATTCTAGGGTTTCCCATACATTCATTAATTTGTGGCGGCCTGCCACAATATCAACGCTGACCGCCACGCATTGATTTTCGGGTTTTGATTTTATTGTAGATCTGCGCACTCCTTCCCCCCTCCCACTCTCACAAACTGACAACGGAGCCCCTCCTCTTCGAGCACGATATTATGAATCAAAACATGATCATGCGTTGGAGGACGGATTGTTGCTTGTTCCTCCAGAATCGTTCCGGAGTTGAATGGTCGATATAATGAACACTATAACTCTAAAAAGTTAGTCTATGTTAAATGCTGTCACGTTTCCACCACAGATTCGCGCAATTTACTAAAACGTCATTTTTTCCTTTTGCGATCAGTCATTCCAAAATCATGGCAACGGACGTTGGTAGGTTTAAAGATATCACAGTCACAGAGCCACCTCACTAGACATTATTATATTATTACTGATAAAGAGACATAGGCCTAAAGGCCATTGCACACTGAGTACGAAATTTTCGTATGCGTTTTTTCGTGTTCGCCAGCCTAAAAATTCGTCACGCATAGAAACCTTGCACACTGAGTCCGATGCGTATTTATTAAACCTTTGCGGGAAAAAACTCAAAAATACAAAATGGATTTGTCAAGCAGTGAGGATGATTTTGTTGTCCTCTCTCTTAATGAAAAGAGGAGAAAGAGAAAATATTACGTCCATCCAATCCTGAAATTGCACCGAGAGGAAGCACCTCCTTCCTCATCAAGAGTTGCGAATTTATCCCGAGCAATTCAAAATTTACCTCAGATTGTCAGTGGAACAGTTGATGCTTTACTTGCGATTCTGGAGCCACATTTTAAAAACAAGACCACCAATTTCCGTCAACCAATTGATTCTGAACAGAGACTGTCAGTATGTCTAAGGTATGGACACACACACACACACACACACACACACACATGCGCACGGCCCGGTGGAAGTGCTGGGCAGACGGAACAGCTGTATAGGCTACAGGTTATATATTGTACCCAAATAATACATTAGTTATCGAATTGGCTGCTCAATCACACATTAATTGATCCGAAATTTCAATCTGATTGAAAGGGGAGGTTATTCCTTTCATAATCCAATCGAGAGAAGAGAACAAACACTTGATCGAATTGAAAACTGAAAGCACTGCGCATATGTGCAATGATGTGCGGAACGAGCTCCATAGACGGTAAACGAGCTCCCCCTGGCCCTGAATTGTCAAAAAACCTCTCAAAATGCTGGTTGTGGATGCGAAAAACGCAGAAAATCAAACCCGATCCGAATTTTTTTATGACGGCCGAAAGTTTCGGAGGTGGTGTGGAAGCGTGATTGACATAACGTGAGGTCAATTTTTTTTTAACGTGCGAAAATTTCGGATGCGAATTTCTGACTCAGTGTGCAATGGCCTTAAGCGTGTTATCCAAGCATTAATAGCAAGGAAAGACTCCTATACTGTGAGCGGCACATGTGAGGTGTGAGGTGGGGCGGCAGTGGCTCAGTGGTTCATGTGGGTTGTCTACGAACCGAAAGGTTGGTGGTTCAATCCTCGGTTCCACCTGACCAAGTGTCGAGGTGTCCATGAGCAAGACACCTAACCCCAGCTGCTCCCGACGAGCTGGATGGCGCCTTGCATGGCTGACACCGCCGTCGGTGTGTGAATGAGTGTATGAATGGGTGAATGTGAGGCAAATGTAAAGCGCTTTGGTGGCCATTAGGTCTATGAAGGCGCTATATAAATGCAGTCCATTTACCATTTTCTCACTTATTTCTGCTCCGAGGTCTTGATTATGGCATTTCTTTGAGGTTTAGAAGCCAGTATTCCTGTATTTGGTCTTTTAAGAATTTAATAAATAACACTGTCTCGTATTCTGTCCAAATACACATTTTGGGTATCTATACTTTACTGGAGTAATTATTTTTCAGCCGACTTTTTACTTCTACTCCTTACATTGCCATTGGCTATATCAGAGCTCTCAAGTGTCACGCATTGATCTTCACAGTCACTCGTTTCGGTCTTTTGTATTTATCTTGCGTAAAAACTGTTTATAATCTATTGAATATGCTGCAGCGCCCAAAATGTCTCTTCACATGATTCTCTCACTCCTGCTGCCTGTCTTCAAAACTTGAGAGCCCTGCTATTTAATTCAGCATAGTACATACCAGGAATGTATCAATCAGGAAGGTATCAATCAGGATTATGAGTTATTTTTAGTTTTTGATTAATCACTTTGAGGAATCATTCAATTTGACTGCACTAATGTTTAGAGTATTATGTAAAAGCTTATGTACATTTATATTCCAATGAAGGTTATTGATAACATGCTTACAATACATATGGGCCCCTGTGGCACATATAGGGGCACAAAAAATTATTTTGTGGAGGTTTAAATTAATGGGGTCAAATTGAATTAATGCACTGGTTAAGTATGTGTGTAGTAGTTCCTCTTATTCACGGCTCTGCTGGTTTAACTTGTTTTTGCAGGTTTCTCCTCCTAAGGAGACGATCCCAGCTCAGCCCGTCAGCCCACGGTGAGAAACAAGCTTTTTATAGGAAAATAATATACATGAGTGTTTACAGGTTTGGGGATGTGTCTGAAAGAGCCTCTTCTGCTCACCAAGGCTGCAGAAACAGTGAAATATCCCAGTGCGAAACCGCTGTTTACTATGGAAACTACGCCACAGAACATTTCAAAAGATAATTGTGACGTTTATATATCGCAATTCTGAGGTTATATCACCCAATTGTGCGAGAGAAAAAAAAGTCTGATTTTCAAAAAAAGTCTGATTTTATATCTTGCAATTGCAAGTTTATATCACACAATTGCGTTGCAATTACCTTTTTTATATTTCATTCTTTTGTGGAAACAAGCTTCCGTAGTTGTCTATGTGAATATATAGTAAGGCGTGTAGCGATAACCGCAATATAGCAGTACTGCGCTACTGACAGGCTAACGGCAGAGCAATGCAGGAAACCGCAGCAACCGTGATATTAGCTTGTGTTCATAAAGCTACACCCTTCTTGTGTTGAACTTCGTGCATGTGTATGGAATGTTAAATATAGATGTGCTGTATAGATGCTGAGTGACAGTTTACAATGCGCAGAGATGCTGTTTTTGTGTATGCTGACCACACTTACTGATTATAGCAACGAATAAATCAAAATAAATAAATGTCAATAATACCGCATATTGTGCTATTGAGTCGCTTAACATCACAGCAGGGAAACTCCTTCACCGCAACGGCCCTATATGTAGCAGTAGGGATGTCACGGTACCAAAATTCCAGTAGTCGGGACTCGGTACCGATGCCATTAAAATGTTACGGTTCTCTGTACCAATTTCGGTACCACACCAAAATCAGCTTGAAGTATTTTTCCAATCTATTTAACTATTTGGGGAAAAAATATATATATATTGAATTCTATTCAATGACTTTATTTTTTATTTATGATGGTAAATTTACAAAAAAAATAAGCAACCTTCTATGCACACATTATTATTATTAGTAGTAGTAGTTGTATTTTTAGACATAGTTAAATCTATTGTACAGTAGCCTAATATAATTATTTCTGTCAATTTCTTTAAAGGGTAACTAAACCCCTGGTCAGAGCCTGACTCCACCCTCTGGCAATATTTGAAATATGCTGAAATAGAGGGGACGAAATAGATGCTAAAACACTCTATCCTGATCGTTTTCAATACTCGCAATTCCAACTCCTGACTCGCTATAGTGGTTTTGACGAAACAAGCTGTTTTTTATACTGCCAAAGGGCTTAGCTCGTACCAAGAGCGTGGTGAGCTGAAACCTGCGTGCGTCACAAAGTGCGGAACATCAAATAGAGGGAATGCATTGACACGTGACTTTCCTGCCGGAACAACCCCCCTCAGCCTAACCGAGTGGCAAAAAACCTGCTGCGTGACTGGATTTAATAGGGGAAACTGCGGAAATGCGACTAAATCGAACAATTTTAACAATTTAAACTAAATGTTGGACTCAATATAGTGTTCCTTACAACTTACTAAAGATCCAGTGATCCATGGATATTGACATGCAGCCAGGAATCGTGTTGCCTGACATTATGTTTGCCTGATTTCGACACCGGGGAAATAAAAGCAATATAGACCTAAACATGAAGCAAATTTGCCTGTGAACGCTTTATATAAATATAATATAGGTAGGTCTAAATCCAGGTGATCACTTATATCAGTGTTATATATAGCCTATATATATATTATATCGTCCAGTCCTAAAACTTTATTATTTATTAAGTTAAGTTTTTTTGGTCCGTGTTTATTAAAAAAAAACCATCCAATAATGCAGAATATACAATGATAAATATTTAATTGATGAGTTGTTAATGTATATAACAATACAAAATATATGGGTATGGTTTTACAGCTAAATTCAGCATATTGACACAAAATGATAACTGCAAATCCACCTTTCGCTGACTGGAGTCCAGCTGTTTCTGTGAATTGCAGTGATCCATTTGCTCCTCTTTCTATAGCAGTCTGTAAAAATATACCTCCGAATGTTTTGTCAAATCTAGTTGTAGGCCTACAGTCAATCGCAAAGCTCTTTTCCACTTTATTTGTGTGTGTTGTGTTTGTTTTTCGTGTCATTCACGCTGAACACATATACAGCCGCTCAGTCTTTTTGCCACTCACTGAGGAACTGCAGGCACTCCGGCCGACGGTGACGTCACGCGCATTCCCTCTATAGGAAATTTCAACTGCAGTAGCCACCGTTCAACCTGAAGAGGGCAGCACTAAGACGTTTTTACAACATATATTGTCGAACTAAAACACTTTATACACAAATGTCAAAAAAGTTACTCGAATCAATGACTGGTATTAATAAAGAGCCATTCTTACAGATAACTAAAAAAAGGTGGTTTAGGATTTAGTTACACTTTAAGTTAAACCAAACTTTTATTTTGACGGGTTGCCGTGAAGACCTTTGAGTTTCTGTGTAGAGTTGGGTCCAAGTCCACCTTTGTCGAGTCCAAGTCCTTAACAATCCAGTCCAAGTCCAAGTCCAAAGAGGGCCGAGTCGGACTTGAGTCCGAGTCCTTAAAGGGTTAGTTCACCCAAAAATGAAAATTAAGTCATTAATTACTCACCCCCATGCTGTACCAACCCCGTAAGACCTTCGTTCGTCTTCGGAAACAAATGAAGATATTTTGATTAAATTTGAGAGCTGTATAACTACCACATTGGCTCCTAAGGGACTGCCTCTTGACGGGCCAAAAAGTCAATGAAGAAAATGTTTAAATATCCCAAGTGACTACCGTGGCTCAACTATATGTTTATCAAGCGACGCGAATACTTTTTGTGCGAAAAAAACAAACAAAAATAACGAGTTTATTCGACTATTTCTTTTTCTTCCTTGTAGGCCAAAACGAGACTTCCTTATAGATTTCCACGACGCATGCGCGAGATTTGCGATCTGCTTCACACCAGCTTCACACTTCAGATCGCAATTCTCGCGCATGCGTCGTGGAAATCTATAGGAAGTCTCGTTCTGGCCTACAAGGAAGAAAAGAAAAGTCGAATAAACTCGTTATTTTTGTTTTGTTTTTTCGCACAAAAAGTATTCGCGTCGCTGATAAAAACATAAGAGTTGAGCCACGGTAGTCACTTGGGATATTTAAACATTTTCTTCATTGACTTTCTGGGCCGTCAAGAGGGGCAGTCCTTAGGAGCCAATGTGGTAGTTATACAGCTCTCAAATTTAATCAAAAATATCTTCATTTGTGTTCCGAAGACGAACGAAGGTCTTACGGGGTTGGAACAGCATGGGGGTGAGTAATTAATGACTTAATTTTCATTTTTGGGTGAACTAACCCTTTAACATCCGAGTTCGAGTCGAGACCGGCCGAGTCCACAAAGATTTAAATGATTTGAAATTGACCTTTTACAAAGACCCATCCCTCTTAGTTACTGTTGCTACGTCCCACAAGCCATTACGCTCACTCCACATGTTCTCACACAGTGAAAAATATATTGAGGAGCAAAGAGAAAAAAAGGTATTTTCAAGGTAATGCTCAAGAATGCATCATGATGCATTAAGAGCCAAGGGGTATTTTTGAGTAAGATGATGGTGATGTTTAAATTTTTATTATTTTGTTTTGCATGCTAATATCTTTTTTAGCCTCTGAAGGGCAGGACTAAATTAATTAATTATTTGTTTTTTAAGAATTTACACCAATTTACATCCAGTTCCATCCTTAACGGATGCTTCCTTCTTGAACATCACTAAATATTTGCAGGGTTTGTAATGATTGAAAGATGGAATTGCTCCATTGTAATGAAAAGATGGATCTCACTGTCACTGCTAATAAGGAGTCAAATATGCAGAAGATGCTGGAAAAGCAAAGGATGTGCAGGAGCTGGAGGATTTTTCCTCATGAACAACCATTACAAAACAGACAAAAAAAAAAAACAGTGTGGATCATTCAGGTAATGACACACAATATTAAAATCAAGTAGCCTAATTTGTCTTGTATTTATTTTGTCTAGTGGACTAGGCCATTAAACATCTGTTATGAAAATTATTATTTAGATTGTCAATGCACTCCCTTTAAGCCATCACTCACCGCGTTCTGCACTCTCCCTAAAACTCTCGTCATAAACACTGAAGTTATCCGCACTGCACAGTGAATCTCTCATTTATATCGTGTCTAGATTTTGTTTATGAGGGGATTTGCAAAAGGATACAGCTCGTGCTGATTCTGAACATACATTTTTAGGAAATTCTCTGCATGATACCTCTGATTTGCCACTGCGTTCGTGCGCTTAATACACGTGATTGGCTACAATACTCAACTCGGACACAACACAAGTAGTTTCGTTTCGTTTTTGAATAACGTGTCCCCTAGTGCCCGGACTCGTTTGGACTCGGAAATTTTCGAGTACCCCAACTCTATTTCTGTGTGTGTTTATGATATGACGATAGTTATTTCTCAAATGAAGCCCGGAACACACCAAGCCGACGCCAACGAACTAGCGCTGATGAAAGCTGACTGTGTTGTCGCCTCTCGTCGGCTCTCGTCAAGGTAAAAAGCTGCACTTGAACACACTTGAGCTGTACTTGAGAACTGCAGCCGACTGTCAGCTAGAATGTGCGTTCTGTGCCTGCGTTTAATGAGCCAACTGTCTATTTCTGCAGCTATAATAGTCGATATTCGTCATTCAAAAAGGAAAACCAACGCTGCCGGCTGCAGATACACATAACGTAAACAAAGCAGCGCGTGCTTACCGGTTTGAATATCAATCCTGCTAAACACTTTCTTTATTCCACTCTGCTATTCGAGAAGGAACACTATGGTAAGAAGACGTAACACAAGAACAGCCTTCTATCTTTACCGTTTTGACTTCTTTGCTTGCTATTTTGCTTTTATTCTCATGGACTGACTCTTTCACTAAGCTGAACAGCCAATCAGAGTTCTCTCTTTCCCCAACTGCCCGACGCCAATTCAACATGTCGAATCGGGCGAAACAGCAGATGAGGACTATTTTCAGCCAACACCACGGAACTTGCTCTATTCTGTGAGGCGCGTTTGTAACGTCACGTAATACGTAATTACGTTCAAAAGGTCACGGAAGCCGGAAGTCACGTAGCCGGAAGTACAGAATCAAAATCATCTGACATCGTTGTTTTTCCTTTTAATTCCTTTTTTTGTAAACGGCGTTTGAGTTAGTTTGCACGTTCAACCTATGCGTTCAACTTGTAAACACTGACTCTGGACTTCTGGTTACGTCGCCCGTGACCTTTTGAACGTAATTACGTATTACGTGACGTAAAAAACGTGCCTCACAGAATAGAGCAAGGCTAGCATTTGTCGTTAGAAAAGTTACATTTTTGGAATAAGTTTTGAAATAACCGATCGTTTCGCATGATGAGACCCTTATTCATCGTCTGGTGTCGTTTAAAGACATTTGAAGCTGCATCTGAAACTGTTATTAACTGTCTTTTGGACCTTGGACTGTCTGGTTCCCATTGAAGTCCATTATATGGAGAAAAATCCTTAATTTCTTTTCGACTGAGAAAAGAAAGACATGGACATCTTGGATGACATAGGGGCGAGTAAATTATCAGCACAAGTTTTTTCAAAAGTGAACTACTCCTTTAATATACACAGACACCACATCAACAGTGCCGCCGGTCACCATTCATGTCTCAGCGCTTTCATGAAGAGGACGCAACTTCACGCCCTTCGTGCATGCATGCGCGCGCAAGCAGAAACGGGTTTAACCGGGAACTCGGTACCACCTGGACTTGGTACGATGACGTTTAAAAAATTTTAGTACCGACTTGGTACCGAAGTACCGAATATTTTGACAACACTATGTAGCAGTGTAACTTATTCCTGTGATCAAAGCTGAAAGTTCAGCTTCATTACTCCAGTCTTCAGTGTCACATGATCCTTCAGAAATCACTCTAATATGAGGATCTGATGATCAACAAACATTTGATCATCATCAGTGTCAGAAGATATTTATTGATGATATTATGACTGTGTCGCAGGCCGGTTGGTGTGTTTGAGACTGACGTGCAGGAGCCTCTGACTGCAGGTACGTGTGTGTTTGTCTCACATGCTCATTACACACAGATGTTCGGGCTTTTATACTCTGTTCTGTGTGTGCAGAGGCTGCTTCGGGGAGCTGTGCTGCCAGACCGGGGTCACTGCCGCCCACTGTGGGAACCAGGAGGAAGAGGCGCTCTGAGGCTGTGAGGAGACGGAGCTCACGCTTGCCCTCCATCGGGAAAACACACGAGGCTCTCGATGACCGGCGACAGGACGCGCTCAACACCCAGCCGGAGGAGCAGCGGGTTGCACCGGACGAGCAGAACAGGGAGTTTGAGCTGGATGTGTCCGAGGTCCAGCACTCGACACCGGATCCTCCCGTCAGACCGAGCCGAAGGAGGAAACCCACCCAGACCAAACCGGAGCGTGGCCGCAGACCAGACCGGGCCCTGCTGAAGAAACCCTGGGAGAACCCCAAACCCAGAGCGCGCTCCAAAAGCCGTGAGCGTTCCCAGAGCCGGTCCCGAGCGCCGGCCGAGAGCCTCAACTCCTCGCTGGGCGGCAACGACACCTTCGACTTTGACTGTGAGGAGGCCATTCATCTGACACCCTTCAGAACCGCACACAAGCCTGCGGACAGACCGAGTGACCCTGCGGAGAGACCGGGTGACCCTGCGGAGCGACCGGGTGACCCTGCGGAGGAAGAGGAGGAGGCCGACAGCAGCTTCTCCGATGATGAAGATGATTCCCCTTACATGCCAAAGAGGAAGACCAGAAGGACTCGAAGTTCTCCGGCCAGACGCACTCGGTCCAAACGTCGCTCCGTTCAGGAGAAGAACCGGAACCAGCACTCAGGTACCTCATGGGGTGTAATTGTGCACAAAATTCACGGTTCTGTTCGACACGATACACTTGTGTCACGGTTCGGCCCGTTTTCAATACAGCAAAATAAAAGAAATGCCAGAGAAATTTCCTTGATTTTAATGTTTTTTATTATATTTTTTATTAAAACTAACATCATAGAGTATGATTATTTTTTTTTTTACTTTGAGCAATGAGTTATAGTTGACTATTCTTAGGAGCATAAAAAACAAAACAGCTCCTTGGACAAAATGAAATGTAAAATTGTAGTAATTATAAACAAAGGGTTATTTTAGTTCAGTTTAACATTTGAGGGCAGCAGTTGTATTCATAATGTCAAAATAAAGCCGACGTGATGTTACTTGAAAGCGTTATAGCCGTCTATTTCTGCCAAACTCCCATGGTTAAAAATAGTTGAAATAACGAAAAATGGTCCAAAGAACCGTTTGATTACAGTTCGATACGAATATGTGTATCGTTACACCCCAATAACCTCACACAACTACGCGCACGTCTCCGCTAACATTCAGAAACATGTAAAAGTGAAGCTGTCCCTCAGTCTCTCCGTTAGGCTGCTCTCGCTGCTGGTTACTCCTGACTCTGGATCAGTGAGATGTTTTGTTAGACACATTCTGGGGACACCAGAGCTTTATACTACATCTTGTGTAAAGGGGCATAATATGCATCATATCACACTATCTAACATTTCATTTCTTCTAATAATTGAATGATTCGCAGAGAACAACAGGGCTGAGGTGGAAGTGCATCTCGACACACAGTCGCCGGTCGATGTTCCTCTCGAGAATCCCAGCCAATCACAGCCAAGCCCAGGTAAACGCAGACAAATGGACATCATTTGTGATGTCTTCGTAGATATTGTTTTCTGTTCCAGTGTTATCAATAGAACTGTGGAATATAATCACTATATGATGAACTATTATTTCTTGAATGCTTCTGTTACCCAAACTGTCTCGCGTTATAGAAGACCCGTGGCAGATTATTGTTGGAAGAAAAAAGTTTAAAAAGTAAAACAAACAAAAAATGTATTTAGGTTTTAGTTTATTCAAATAATTTATAAACATTATTTTTCTATAAAATGTATATTTTATAAAACATGTTGAACTCTAAAACTGTTAGAAAAGCAAAGCCATGAATCTTGTGTTCAAAGTTGTGTTCAAAATGTGAGGTTGATTTCTGAGTGAGTGAGTGAGTGAGTGAGTGTTTAGAAACACATGCACACAATTTTTTTTTTATTACACACACACAAACCACACTCTGACACGCACACAATTATTGCTGCATCATTTATCCAAATGGCTCTATGAAATGCAGAAGCAGAAAATAGGAAAATAAAGATAATTTGATAATTTGTTTATAGGTCAAACCTGAGAAATGGCACACCTGGTGAAATATTGTAAACATGTCTAATTTTGCAGGCTTGCCGACAGAATAAAAAGCCACAGTCTCTCTGCAGGATCGCCTCTGGGTTTAGTCTCGCCCGCCGGTTACATCCGCCGCTGTGTCGCCGTTCTTGCATTAGCTGGAGATAATGGACAAATACACTCGCTGTTTACCAGAACTTCCCGTGGTTTACGTGGATGCTGTTAGCAGTGTTGAGGCAGTTAGCGGTCACACAGAAGAGTAAGAAGAGCCAACTTTGAGAGCGAGTAATCTCTCATATCATGCGAAATCCGACCAGCCAATCAGTTTCTAAAATCGTTGTCTCCTTTCTGAGAAAATTAAGTTTATTTAAGTTTGCCGCGAGTACACTTCGCTTTAGAGCGCACTATGCGGAGGTGACGACATGGCTGAGGTCCTACCGGACATACGTCAGTTCATGCACAGAGCCTATTTACACAGATTGCAGGATTTTAGGTTAAATGGGCCTGGGTTAAAAATTGCAGTTTTAAAGGGTTTCAATGGGGACGTGTTTGTGCTCAGAGGAGCTATAGAGACGTCCCAGAGTTCCAGCGCCTCGATCATAAGGGTTAGTCTGAGCCGGAGCTCTGTTCACCTTCAGTTTCGGTTCACAGCAAACGCTGAGTGTTTGAGTGGTTTATAATTTGCATTAGCAGCCGAACCGCGAGGATGGCCTGTAGCGCTGCCGTCACGGCCGAGCGATCCAGTCTCCAAAACACAAACAATGTTTCATGTTTGAAACCAAAGGAATTAAAGCAGCCGTAAATGGTGCTGTCATTTTACTGTTGTTCTATGAAATAAAGTATTAATCAAAATTATTATTTTTATGATAGCATATTGTATTAAAGGTGCTGTATGCAATTTTTAGCGACCTCTAGCGGTGATGTTTCAGAATGCAACAAGAGCGCTCGTGCTCAATCTCAAGAGCGAGCAATCATTCACTACCAGCCACACGGAGACTTTCAATGCAACGGTGAAATTATCACACATGCTGGAAACTAATATAAACTCCCACTGCAGGTACAATAATAGCCTAACTTACTTTTATCAGCTTGACGTTGAACTAATGCTCTGTGCTCATACCATGATAATGTTACAATAAACTGCATTTAGCCGACATGTGATGTTATATAGCATAAGCCATTTCTCTAACTATTCGTGTATCATTCACAATCAGCGATTTCAACACAGGTGAATGTATAATATGATAACGAAAACGGTTAGTGAACTAAACTGAACAGTTTCAGTGTATCAGTAAGATCGTAGGAAGTAACAATACTGTACTGAACTTGTCTGGAAATGTTTATAAACAATATGGTAGTGGGATGACGACGTTAGTCAGTAGATCTAGTAAATAAAATAAGTTGCATACTAAATGTTATACTAATGTTATCCTGGAACATTCTTTTGTATTCATGTCATGTTTCATTTAGTTTACCTTGCTATTTCACTTGAGTTTACTATGTTGATCCGGGTTTTCGTCCGGAGTCGATCAGATTCACGTTTTGCCTGACGAGCTTGAGCAGATAAAACTTTTTTGTTTTTTATATTTATGTGGAGTTTGTGTTTGAGTATGTGTTGTGCTGGAGGCAGGACGTTTTGGGGGGGTTGAAGTCAGCTGAAGTGCCGTTGGTCGCATGATAGACTGTAGGATAGAGAGGCTCGGGACTCGGGAGCGCGCATGCACGTCACTTCTGATGGATTTCGCAGGAAATCCGACCCGAAGACCTCGCATATAAATAAGAATATTGGCCTTCAGAGGTAATGGCAAAACCCAAAAAGTGGATCTTTGCAATGTGTGATTACAACCCCTTCAAACACAGGCAATAAAAAAAGGATTCATTTTATAAAAATAGTTACATATAGAACCTTTAAATATTCTATACTATATTTGTACTATATTTGAATAATAATTCACTTTGGCTAAGCCACGCCCTAGAATGTAGATTGACCAATCACAGCGCAGCCAAGAACGAGCTCCCACAGAGGTCGGACACTTTTTCACTGCGCTCCATTGACTTTCAACACAGGCGTCTCATATTTTTGGTCTCGGCAGGCTATTACCGTCATAGTTTTATCCAAAATATGGTTAAACGTTGTGCCTCGGGCAATTGTAACACACATACGCATTTCCCAGAGAGGTTGGAGGGGGGTGTCCGTTTTTTCCCTTCCCAAAACAGAAGTGTCGTCTTTGGATTAAACTGTGTGGATGTCCCCAGTCAGCTAAACCCCGCAAAGATCAACAAGCACATCTTTTTTTACTTCTAACCTTACTGTGAGTGTGAAGTTATACTAGTTAGTTACACCGTTTTATAATGTTTTAGGTTATGATTTCGGTTCTCATACCGGTTGTTGATATGCTAGCACACGCTGCTAATAAATACAACGTTATACTCATGTAGTCCGTTTGCTTTGTAATAACGATTATAGAAGTGAATAGAGACCTACCCAGCTTTGCATGAACAGTGTTGCTCCCTGATATTGTTAGTCCCAGCCTCCGTCTCGATTAGTAGGAAATGCGGTGGTTATTTTTTTGACTGTGACCGGTAACGTTATGCTTTTGCCTCTATCTTGGATGCCTTGTTGTTTCTTGCGTTTCACCTGTATGTCTTGGATACAGCCTTCGAACGTATATTGCAGCCCATTTTCCCTACTTCTTTCGGACACTTTATTTGCTGCTTTTAGTGCTTTATAAAAGTTTGATAACATTTCAGCTGGAAGAGCTGTTACAGCATAAGCCATGCAGAGCGCAGATGAAGTTTGACGGATGTAGCAACAGTAACTAAGGGGGGCGGGGCTTAGCCAAAGGTGAATTGCGTGATTTTAATAATTTCTGATCACATGCCTAATAGATTTAAAATGAAAATAGTAAAGCACTGTTCATTTCATTTGATTCTCTTTAATCTCATTTTAAAGAGAGATAAAATAACACAAGAGACAATAGTGATTATTAATCATTATTAAATAAAATAAAAATAAAAGGAAATTACTAAAAATGTAACTAATATGAAAAATAAAAAATCTGAATCAGACTATGATGAGCTGTTGTGTGGTGTGTGCCTGCAGCGCCCCCTGGTGTGTCTCTGGAGTCTCCACTGCCTGTCACGCATGGAAAGGCGGAGCTTATGATGATTGACTGCCCAATATTTCAGTTCCCAAAGTCTGCCAGCAACTCGTCCGATCGGGAGAACGAGACGCCGGTGGTGAAGAACAGAGGCAGAAGAAGAGGTACGTCCCTCATGTGACCTGGGTTCTGGAGGATCTCTTTCTCTCTCTCTCTCTCTCTATCTATCTATCTATCTATATATCTCACTCACTCACTCTCTCTATCTCTGTCCTCTCTCTCTATCTCTCTCACTCACTCTCTATCTCTCTCTGTCTCTCACTCACACTCTCTCTCTCTCACTATCTCTCTCTCTCTCTCCACGTTTCCTGGTGTATAAGGACTCATGTGTGGCACATGTGTTTCTGCAGGCCGGCTGGTTGTTCACTCATTTCTGGGCGTGGCTTTGAGTGATGTGAGCAATCTCTCCCCCGCAGCCTATCAGAAGCCGGCGTGTGCTTTGGCCACTCCCCCGACCTCCGCCCCCAGGCGTCGCTGCACCGGATCTGTGAACTACAAGGAGCCGTCGATCAGCTCGTACGTGCCTCGCTTCATTCAGACTCGCTCAGGGCCATTACATAAGATTGACAGATGCTACTTATTTAACAGTGCATTAGTACATGTTAATTAACTGTACATTTTTTAAATTACATTTCTACATTTTTCTCAAAGTGTAGCTTGTACATTAAAACTGAATCCGCTCCGTTCCTGCATGTTCACTGATGCGCGTGTGCGCTCTCACGACAAGACCCCTTCATTTATACAGCGCTTTAACAACACACACACTCACAGCAGCTTTACACAGAGATAACAGTAGCAGAGAGTGTTAGGCTTTACAGCAGATCTAGAATAAAGTTATTCTCCAGATAAAGTTAGTTTTTAGCGCAGCTGTGGGCTGGAATGATTTCTCTCTCGGCTTCAGGCATGTGTGTGTGTGTCTGTGTGTCACAGGAAGCTGCGGCGAGGCGATAAGTTCACGGACACGCGGTTCCTGCGCTCCCCAATCTTCAAGCCGGCGGCGGCGGCGCGGCGGAGCCTCCAGAAGAGGGAGATGTACAACGAGTCGTTCGTCGGCTGCCGCTGAGCTCCCGCAAAACTCAGCAATTCTGTATTCTTTTAATTAAGACTTTTAACTGTCAGTTATATAATTGACTGCTTTTAAATCTCATGATTTAATTGTGAATATTAATAAAGTTTGTCCTCTTCATTTTCCTAAAGAGTTCTGGTCACTTTGAAAGATTTGACATTTATAATGTATTTCTGAGACACTTTACTAAGGTGATAACGCGTTAATCCCATTGGTTAAAACATTAAATTCCCCTGTTGTTAATCATGTTATCCATTAAAGCCCATCTTTGATCACCAAAATTACATAGTTAAACGTTATTCCTTGAAGAAAAATTCTTCATGCCGTACAATATCTTGTGTCTAACTCGACACCCTCGCCTCATTTAGTATGTGTGGTTCTATGAATATGTAAATGAGCCCCGTCTCCATTCACTCATTTAGAGATCCACTGGTTGACTATCACACGTTGATCTGATTGGTTGCAAGGTCGTTTGTGACGTCAGAACAACAGCGATTTCAAACCGTGTTTTTGAGACTGTCTTTGGTTCACTGCAGTTTTAAGGAGGAAATACCCAGGAATAGCCTAGAAATCTAGACGCACCCTAGCGGCAGCAAAAATTATTTTGCAGCAAAGTGTGGTCTAGCAACTCTCCATAGACATTTTAGCTGGAAAAACTCAACTCTGGTAGGGCCAATCACATCGTGTATAGAGTCGGCGGACGGGCTTAAAGAGCATATTGCAGGTAAAAAAAAAATCGAAATTTATAGATAACCTTGTATGAAAATACCATATGAAAAGTTAATGCAGGATTTAAAATGTTTTAAAACAACATAAGGACACTAATTTAGAAGATAAAGTGAGCGTTTCTTGGACTGCTTGTAAAAACGGCTTTTTTTTCAACATCGCGTCATTTGACGTCATATCAGGGAGCCGCAGCCTCGGCTCAGTGAGAGCAGGCTGGTGTTCAGTGAGAGCGCTCGTCAGTCAGTGTGCTTTCGTTAGTTTTTGCATTTTAATTTATCATCGTCATGGTAAATTATTGTGTTTGTGGAAATTGCAAAAACTCCAGCCTGTCAGGACTTCAAGATCGAGTCCACAAGTTTCCATTACAATAAAAGTGACTGTGCTATATAGCCTATCTTTCGTTCCTGGTGCGGTTTGAGCAGGTGAAGAGGCGGGATTTCTCTTCAAATGATTAGCATCCCGGCAATATGATGGAGTTCAACATGGTATGCCGAAGCAAGAATATTGATCGTCGTATACTACCACATACCTGCCAACTTTTGAGTTTTTCTTGGCGTGAGATCTGTTGGGGGGGGGGGGGGGATTATTAAGGGAGATTTGTAACTAATTTGCGGTATTACTAGTGGATCACGAGTGGCCCAACACAACAGATAGATCAATAGATAAACTCATCTTTCAGGCTGTTGACCGACCCATAGCTGTCAACATCAAAGGGAGATTTCCCGGGAACCATCCCCAAAATAAGGTGTTTTTTACCTCACGATTCTTACTAACAAACTTTAAAAATAAAGCACTAATCAAAAAGTCTAAAGAGTTTAGAACTAGCCCACATATGTGTGAGAAAGAGCACTGTGTCATTAAAAAAATACCATAGAGAATGTTTAAATACTACGATCAGCTTACGAGGGAAACGGGGAGGCTGCTTCTGCTGCCTGGAGATGATTGGGAGAGGTCTCTGCGCGCGCTGACATGGAGAAAGCCTTGTTTATACTCGACGCGTCTGCACGAGCGCGGTAAAAATGACGTGGGTGACGTTGGGTGCGCAAGACCGGCAAGACCTCACTTCGAGCTGTGTGCAAAGCTTGTGTTACAGCGCGCGCGGAACCGCATCCGAGGACGAGCTTGTACGTCTCACACAATCAGAGTGTAAAAATACGAGATATTTTACGGGAAATACTAACATGGGAAGACAGTAAAAGAGCTAAAATACGTGAGAAACCCGGAAAAACGGGAGGGTTGACACTTCAGCGTAAGAAATCGGGGGTGTGGCGTGTGAGCGTGTGAAACCAATCAAATGCGGGTGTCTCACGGCCAATGCGTGACGCCGCCTTCACACTGGCAGTTGAAATCAGCTCCGTAATACGCAATACGTTCCCAACGGACGTCGTACTACACAGTGAAAAGCGTCGGACGCGGGTAGAACAAAAATGGCGGAGAGATTAAAGTTTGATTCTGTCAGTTCTGTATGATCTCTCTGCGTGAGGAAAGTTGCTCAGGACGTTGACATGTCAGGTCAACGCATTCTCATCCTTTAACGTCATATAGAACGCTATATGACAAAACGGCGCTATACTACGCACATGGCACCCGTTATCGTTAATATAACACGTGCTGTGAGGGCTAAGTTTAGGTGTGGGGTAGGGTGTGCGTGTCATATTCACGCTAAAGGATTTATAACGTCTTGGGTTCGCGTGTTATTATAACGATAAAGGGTGCCATGTGCGTAGTATAGCGCCGTTTTTGCATATAGCGTTCTATATGACGTTAAAGGATGAGAACGGGCTGGTCAGGTCGGCTAAAAAATGTGATATAGTGGTCAATAGTTCAATCTACCTTCAATTTAATTGTATTAACTGCCCTTATAAACGTTAGAAAGTCATGAAAATAAAAAATGACATCACAACTTATCGTTATAAAATCAATATTTATTTTATTAAAAGTTAATAATTCAGGTTTGTTTATCAGTACCATAACAACGGTCAACTTCCGCTGGAATTGTCGGATAGGAACCGTCCGTAGCTTTTCGCAAGAGTTCGAATTTTTGAACGCAACGGACACGATTTTCTTCGCACCGCACTCGGTCGGACCCGTTTCGGACCCATTCGCATGCGGTCTGCGAATCTCCATAGGAAATGAATGACTTCCGGTCGTTTCGCAGCCGCATCGGAGCTGATTTCAACTGCCAGTGTGAAGGCGGCGTGAGAGTTGGCAGCTATGCTACCAATGGCATCAAATAGTGTTATATATAGGTAACGTTAACTTAGTGGTTGTAATGACGACAGAGTTGAGCCGGTCAGAGCAAGCTTTTAATTAATAATGAGCATTACATTCGTTATTAATCCTTTTTCAACTTCCAGGCGGCATACTTCGGAGGGAAAATTGTAATTCTACATCGGGAGACAACGCAGTGAAAGTCAAGAAAAGGAAGCGGGGAAAAAAGGGAGCTGTTCGTCAACGACTACGGCGCAAACAGCTCACCCGTATTTCCCTGCCGTCAATGATTCTGGGTAACGTACAGTCATTACGGAACAAACTTGACGAGTTGCAGGGAAATGTTCGTTTTCTGCAGGATTATAGAAACAGCTGTGCTATGGCATTCACAGAATCCTGGCTAACTGAGCAGGATTTGGATAATGACTTGTGTATTGATGGGTTTGGCACCCCGTTTCGCACGGATAGGAGTGCAGAAATCACAGGTAAATCCCGTGGTGGGGGTGTGTGCCTTTATGTCAACAAGCGGTACTGTACTGGGGTGACTATTCGGGAGAACATTTGTACACCCGATGTTGAGTTATTATCAGTATCCCTTCGTCCATTTTATCTGCCACGGGAATTTCCTGTTGTGTACTGTTGTGTACATTCACCCAAAAGCAAACAACGTCATTGCATCGAACATTGTATCTGATGTTGTTCAAGAACTTCAAAATATTTCACCAGAGGCGCCGAATCTTATTTTGGGAGATTTTAATCATGTGTCACTTAAAAAGACTCTGCCGAATTTTTACCAATACATTACATGCCAGACAAGACAATATAAGACACTTGATCTCTGTTATGGGAACATAAAGGGGGCATATAGGTCTGTACCATTGTCGGCACTTGGATCTGCCGATCATAACTGTGTGCAGCTCCTTCCTATTTATAGACCCTTATTTAAGAGAGAAAAACCTCAGATAAGAGAAGTCAAAATGTGGTCAGAAGACTCAATCGCCCGTTTGCAAGGGTGCTTTGACTGTACGGACTGGGAGGTCTTCAAAGACTCTTGTGAACATATTGATGACTTGACAGATGTTGTAAGCTCATACATAACTTTTTGTGAGGATATGATTGTGCCTACACGTAAATTTAAGGTTTTCCCAAATACCAGACCATGGATGTCAAAATCAGTTAAAACAAGTTTGCTAAATAAGAAGCTAGCCTACAAACAGGGTGATGACCTAGAAAGGAAAACAGTGAGGAAAGAAGTCAGAATGGAGATCTTCAAAGCCAAACAAGCATATAAAATTAGGTTAGAAAAAAAACTTGGCAGAGAATAACTTAGGCTCTGCTTGGTCTGGTAAGAAGAAAATTACAGGAATGCAGGACAATGTAAATAAGAACACTGTGTGTATTGGTGGTTTTAGATCAAATGATGACCTTTCAAATGCTCTTAATATGTTTTATGCAAGATTTGAAAGTTTTGATTTTAAAAATGAAGTAGAAGAAATACGATGGCTGTGTAAGGATGATTCCCACATAGTCTTAGAACAGGCTGCAGTAGAGAAAATGTTTCTCTCCACTAGGGTGAATAAGAGTCCTGGTCCAGACTATAGGCCTATATGTGGTAGAATATTAAAGCACTGTGCAAGGCAACTAACTTCTATATTTTGTGATATTTTTAATTGGTCATTACGTGAACAAAAGGTACCTAGTCTGTGGAAAAAGTATTTTATTATTCCAGTTCCTAAATGCAATAAGCCTTGTTAAATGATCTGAGACCAGTAGCCCTCACCTTATTGGTAATGAAATCGTTTGAGAAACTGGTGAAGTCTGAGTTATTAAGTAAGACTGGACAAGCCCTCGATCCCATGCAATTTGCTTATAGAGCGAACAGAAGTTGAGGATACTTCACTTATGCTGTTAAGCATCTAGAGGGGAAAAATACCCATGCAAGACTGTTGTTCATAGACTTCTCTTCCGCTTTTAACACTATACAACCCCACATCCTAGCCAGAAGATTGAACCACAATTTAGTGGGATGGCTACTGGATTTTTTAACAAATAGAATGCAGAGGGTCAAAGTGAATGGCAGTTTTTCGTATTAATTTTATCTACAGGAGCACCACAAGGTTGTGTTCTTTCGCCCTTACTATACATTTTGTATACTAATATGTGTCAAAGTGGATATGAAAATAGGATATTAATCAAGTTTGCCGATGATACAGTGATAGTTAGTCTGTTACAAGGGGACGAATTGGGCCATGGTCCAATTGTGGAGGGTTTTGTGACCTGGTGCGATGATTCCTATCTAAAGTTAAACACTACCAAAACGAAAGACATGATAATTGATTTTAGAACGCGCACCGTTGATCACGTTACTACGATTATTAAAGGACAGACTGTGGAACAGGTGGAGAGTTTTAAATATCTGGGTACAATTATAGATTCAAAACTTTCATTTGAATCTAACTGTGACATGGTCTGTAAAAAGGGTCATCAACGTTTGAGATGCCTTAGGAAACTTGCAAAATTTCACATCGACAGACGTATGCTGAGTTTGTTTTATTTCGCTTTTATTTAATCTTTTATGTCTTTTTCCATAGTGGTGTGGTATGGAAGTCTGTCAGTGAAGAACAGAAACTCCCTAAACCAAATTGTAAGATGGGCGAGTAGAATAATTGGAGTAGCCTAAATCAAAGGAACCTATAATGTATACACAGATCAGCTGTATCAGAAAGCAAGTGCTGTCTTGAATGATCAGTCGCATCCCCTAAGGAATGATTTTAGGTTACTTCCGTCTGGTCGCCGTTTTTTGCGGCTTTGAGATGGAAAACAAGACGATATAAGAATACTTTTGTTCCAGCTGCAATTGAATTGCTAAATGATAAGAGAGAAGTTTTAGCACTTGACAGTTAATACGGATAACGTATGTGTTAAGGCGCAGTTCTAGTTGTCCAGTACGTGAAATATTTGTATTGTAGCCTATGTTTTTATGTGGATGACTGAATACTTTTTTATCTGTAATATAATTTTACCTGCGGGTACGAAATAAAAACTACCTACCTACCTACCTTAATGTTTATAAAATACAACTATTAATGTATTCTAGCTTATGTCTATTACATATTGACTGATACTATTTATTTAACAATGCATTAGTAAATGTTAATTTACATTATATTTCTAAAATGGTATTGAAGCGATTTATGCATTATTTATAAGTGGGAGATTTTCCAAAGTAAAATTATTTGTTAACTTTGTTCTTAATAGTTATATAATAATGTTGCATGTCGGATGTTCGGTTCAAAATGATTAGTTAAAACCTGATCAGGTTCAGCGTACTTCATCACGTGGTCTCTGATGAGCAATATGAACTTTTATTGCGTTACGCCAGTTATTCTTTCAAAAATAAAAAGCCCTTGTCACAGCACGGGTTTGGCCTTCTATGATAAAAACTTTTAAAACATGAAAAGTTTGTAAATTATAAATCCGCTGCCACTTCTGGACGTTTATCTCCCGCGCATGCGCAGTGCTGAAACGGAAGCCTCTTCAATGCAGAGCGGAAGTGGATTCGTCCTTTTTCAACCACGGTCTGCCATCATGGTGAGTGAACTCACTGTCGCACAGTCTTAAATCTAACAAATATGATGTTTTATTGCAGTATTTCAGACGAATTGTGCACGGAAGACGCATTTTAATACCTCAATGTCCTCTATATCGTAGTTTTGAAGTATAACTGAGGCTTTTAGCGCTATCGGTGAGAAAGAGCGTCAGATGTGCCTCGAAACAACGTGGTGGAGTGAGTGTGTGTGTGTGTGTGTGTGTGTGTGAGAGAGTGTGTGTTAGGTCGGAGTCTGCACAGGCACTCATGTTTCACAGGACCATCAAATGATAATAAATGACCGAAACGCTCGATGTAAATGTGTTTTATAGAGGCTAAAGTTGTGTTTTTCGGTCCCGTTCTCACGGGGACGAGCAAAGAGAGCGCGCCCGAGAGCAGCCGGCTGAAGCACGCGCTTAAAGAGACAGATCACACAGAAGTTACTGTTCTGTTATTTACTCATGCTCATGTTGTTCAAAACCTGTGTGAAGTTCGTTTTTCTGCTAAACACTAGTGTTTTAAAGAGTGTCGGTAATCTAACAGTTGCTCTGCCTATAGACGAATCCGACGAGCGTTCTGTGTAGGCTGCTATCTTGTGGTGACGCCATTAGCTACTGAGCTGTTACACAGGCATACAGACATATGCACCGGTATGTAAACAAACCTCGGTGATAACGCGAACTCACCCTCGATGACAGCTACAGCCAGGCAGAATGACTTGTTGGGTTGATCTGTGACTGCAGTGGCCTCCAGTCACAGATGAAGGTACAAACGATCTTACAGATTAACGTTATTATGAAAATAGCTTGGCAAGCTAGCTATACTAACGTTTGCTAACGAGAAAACTATAAAAAGATCTGTCCATTTGGCAACAATAAATACATAAATGAATGAAATCAAATAAACAAATTCATGTTTTTCATTTGTGTCCATTATTTATCTCATTTTCACATTGCAACAGGCAAGGGTAAGGTAACGTTACAGCTAGAAAGTATGTAATATCGACCAATTAGTGTTTTTAAACCATGGAAAGAGGTCAATATAACAGCAGGAAAACAATTATGTCACATAATGTTACATTTAGCTCAGGAAAGCCATTTAATGACCATAGCATGCTAATTGAATAGAAAAAAACAGCAAGAGAGGAGATTTTGCTGATCACTATATCACATATTTATTATATTTTTTTTACTCATGTCATTAAATAATTGTTATTGTACGCGAATGTCCACGTCTTGTACTCGCCCAGGAAATCTGTAAACCGTACGGCTCCAGACAGGGGCAGTCGACCTGGGGTATTCACAATGTTTTCTCTTCAAAATTGAAAATTTACTGCCACCATTGAAACAATTTATAACGGAAACTGTTTACCCACTCGACATTATACAAGGGGTAGCGTTGTAACGTTAGTGACAGACAGTCGTAAATCCCGGGCTGTCGACTTACGACTGTCACTAACGTTACAACGTTAGCCCTTGTATAATGTCGAGTGGGTAAACAGTTTCCGTTATAAATTGTTTCAATGGTGGCAGTAAAATTTCAATTTTGAAGAGAAAACATTGTGAATACCCCGGGTCGACTCCCCCTGTCTGGTGCCGTACGGTTTACACAGATTTCCTGGGCGAGTACAAGACGCGGACATTCGCGTATAATAACAATTATTTAATGACATAAGTAAAAAAATATAATAAATGTGTGATATAGTGATCAGCAAAATCTCTTCTCTTGTTATTTTTTCTATTCAATATGATCATTAAATGGCTTTCCTGAGGTAAATGTAACGTATTGTGACATAATTGTTCTCCTGCTGTTATATTGATCTCTTTCCATGGTTTAAAAACAGTAGTTGGTCGATATTATGTATACTTTCTAGCTGTAACGTTACCTTACCCATGCCCGTTGCAATGTAAAAATGAGATAAATAATGCACACAAATGAAAAACATGAAATTGTTTATTTGATTTCATTTATTTATTTATTTATTGTTGCCAAATGGACAGATCTTTTTTTAGTTTCCTCGGTAGCAAACGTTAGCCTAGCTTGCTTGCCAAGCTATTTTCATAAATAATCTGTAAGATCGTTTGTACCTTCATCTGTGACTGGAGGCCAATGTCTAACATCATCAACCCAACAAGTCTGCCTGGCTGTAGCTGTCATCAAGGGTGCGTTATCACCTTATCTCCGAGGTTTGTTTACATACCGGTGCGTATGTCTATGCCGGTGTAACAGCTCAGTAATGGCGTCGCCACAAGATGGCAGCCTACACAAGAACGCTCGTCGGATTCGTCTATAGAGAGCCTAAGTCCCGCCCCTCCGCTTCCGGCTCATGGGACCTTATTTCGGAAAAAATATGGATGGTAGTCAATGGCGAGAGACAACTTATCTTTTTATTCCGTCTGAACTGTGGCCTCAATTACACATATGATGTTTGTCAATTTAAAAGATAATTCTGAAAGTCAAAACCGTTGCAGTTTGTCATACAACAGAAGAGTAACATTTAGTTTTATGTGAAAATTGCTCTGTGAACTACATCTCCCGGGAAGAGAAACGAGATCCGCTGCTCGTGTGTGTGCAGTCTGGTACAAAACACTCAGGTATGATGGCGTAACGTTACGATTATAACGTAAGACTGTAGAAACAATGACAGACAGCCTCAGTAAAGTTAGCTTCATTCATTGAGAGAAAATGTGCGCCTTTGGGGTTTGTAGTCTTTGTAATTACGTATTTTCACAGTCTTATACCTCAACGGTTTTACATCAAACTGCAACTTTCTTTACTTTAAAATGTATCTTTTAAATTGACAAACATCATATGTGTAATTCAGGGCACAACTCAAACGAGATCAAAATATTTGTTGTCTCTCGCCATTGACTACCATTCAATATTTTTCCGAAATAAGGTCCCATGGTGGTCGACCGGAAGGGGAGGGACTTAGGCACTCAATTGAGTGCCGAAGTTATGACGTAACACAGTAGGCCAAAACGCGGAAGTGAGTTAGCATTTCAGCATTACGGTTCCCTCGCTCTAAAGCCTATGGGATTTTTGAATGGGTTTTTGCTAAATCGCCTGAAATAAGGTTTGTGGTGAACAGAGCCGATAAATATTTTCATGTTTTGATCTATGACACAGAACACACAGTTATAACCTGCTTGTGTTTTTTAAACTTTATTGTGTCTGATTGTGTTTTTTAAAATCTTTATATAGGCTTCAAAATGTATAAATTTTAGATTAACTTGTAAAGATTATCTTGCTAGACAAAACTTGTAAGAGGCACAACCCTTTGTTAAACATAGATCTTATGTTTTGCGATTTTCCAAAAGTCTATGGGGAAAATGGATTGCTTTTCGTCCTAGGGAACCCATGCGCCGCTAGCTTCCGGGTTGTCCTACAAAGTGACGGCATCACTTCGGCACTCAATAGAGATCCTAAGTCCCTCAAATAAATCCTACTGAGGTGAACGGGGTCCATCACCCGTTCGGTTCCGACAGTCTTTATGCTCTCGTGTTCGGCTGAAGAACTCGCGGGTGTGGGACCACTCATGGGGGAGTGCGCGACAGAACTGCAGTCAGATTGCTGACGTTACTGGACACAAGGCAGTGCCCGTCATTAATGAATCAATGTTTACATTGAAATGCATTAATACTCTTGTTTACTTTCTTTCTTCAGGTTTTTAAGCGCTTTGTCGAAATCGGCCGCGTTGCATTCGTGGCCTTCGGGCCTTACGAGGGGAAGCTGGTGGCGATTGTAGATGTTATTGACCAAAACAGGGTGAGTTTAAACACTAGTTCTGTTGTGTCCTGTTATGAAGCTTCATGAACACTATATGTCTGGGCTGAGTCACATGTGCAGTGAGTGTTGTGTGACCCAGTGCTGTGTTGTGTTCAGGCGCTGGTGGACGGCCCGTGCACCGGGGTCAAGAGGCAGGCCATGCCCTTCAAGTGCCTGCAGCTCACAGACTACGTCATCAAGGTCCCTCACAGGTGTGTGTGTGTGTCCCGTCATGCTCTGCTTCATCCCTACAGAGCAAATGTGATTCTGACATGGCGATTGCGTTGTGATTTCAATCATGATATGAAATGAAAGTGAGCATTTTAGTGACATAACTGAATGGATCTATACAAGGGAAATCTTTCTTTAACAACATGCATCAATCAGTTGAATAATACAATTAAAAAGAAAAGCAAAATATATATACACATAATGAAAAAACACATCTTAAATGCGCACATTACCGCGGGTATAATGCCAATATTGGTAATCGGAATACCTACCAGGAAAGATGACAGCCTATGAAAGCATGAATACATCACCTGACGATTAAGCCTGAATAGATATCAAGCATGGAAATATAGAAATATGGATGGGCATTTTTGTCAGTTTCTCCTTTCGCTGATTGGCGGATGAGGTTCTCCGGGGGACATATTTTAAAGGGCACCTATTATGCCCCTTTTTACAAGATGTAATATTGGTCTCTGGTGTCCCTAGAATGTATTTGTGAAGTTTCAGTTTAAAATACCCCACAGTTAATTTATTATAACCATTTGAAAATGTCATTTTTGGGCCTGCTTAAAAATGACCTGTTTCGGAGGTATACGGCTTTAAATGCAAATGAGCTGCATATCCCTGCCCTGCCTTTGGATGAGGGCGTAACTTGATACCTATGGCAGTCGGTAAGCAGAAGGGCTAAGAGAGTGAGAGACGTGCTGTTTTGAATGTCATTCAGCGTACGTTTGAATCGGAATATATAAATAGCACGAAGAGACTCCGGCAGAATAAACATAAATGAGAATGGACCAGTACGTCTCGGTATGGTTATTTGATACATTTATGTACTTTAGCGTTGTAATCGCGTTCCCTTTGAAATGATGGGCATGTGCAACACACACACACACACACATAAACACTAATACTGGCGCAATTTTTTTGAAATTACATACACATACTGTGATAAAGTTTGCTACGTACAAGCGAAATTACATTTATGCGAGGGACGGGGACCTGTGGCGTCATGTTTACTTGTCATACGGGTGCTTCTGTGGCAAATGTGAGGACATAGAACAACAACATATATGCAGTTTTTAATACAATATCTTTAAATATATATAAACGTGTGGTTACACACTATACAAACAAGGTTTAAATTATATAGCCTACACAGACATCCTACGACGACAACAACTTTAGACGCATTTGTTGTTGAATTGGCTGACATTGACTGAAAAATCACTATTTGCTATTTGCTCTATTTGCTCAAACTATTTGCTCAAAAATCATTAAACACACTTACTGTTACTGGAGGTGACGGTGGATCGCAAACAGTAGATGACGATCCACAGTTAAGGATTAACTTTTAAGCCACAACAACAGGATTAACCCACGAGTCCACGACAGAACACTTATGTTTCCAAGAGACATTACCGGCTGTCGTCGTTGAAACAATGGAGGATGATGTGTACAGGTCTAGGCCACAGCCACACTGTCAATCAAACCCCTGTCTCCCTTTCTACGTCACAAAGAGCTGAATCTCAGAACAGCTCGTTCTGAGGCAGTGCATATGATTTATTGATATTGTAAAAAAACCACTGGGTGGATTTTTATCATTCTAGGGTCGTTTTGCTCACACACTGCCAACACACATTTATGTTCAAACACCATGTAAAAGTGAATTTTCCATAATAGGTGCCCTTTAAGATTGTTACAAAAATTAATGTTAACACAAAATGACGTGAAAATGTTTCTATAAAAACATAAACATATGAATAGGAAATAACACTGCTTGATTATGATGCTTCAATGTTTAATAAAAGAACCGTCTCTATTAACACAGTCAGTAATGTGTGGCGTCGAATTAGAACAGTTAAAGTTCAAAATCAGACTTGAAGTATTTCTTTATTAATAAATTGAACTAATACATTAATTAAAGTGTGTATGTCAGGTTAAATTTGTATCTATGATTAACACAAAATAGGGGAAAAACACGTTTGTCAAGTTGATGTATTGTTTTGTATGTTTTTTGATACCTAAAGGCAGAATAGAAGATGAAAAAGTTAGTTCTTTTCAGTACTCACTTAAAACTACTCCTCCCCCCAAACGAATCGCTTGACGTCATAAGAGGGAGACGTTTCCCCAGGTCGCTGAGAAAGTGAGTCAGTGAGCTGTGTTGGTAATTGTACGAATGATAGAGCGAGAGAATTATTTGATTAGAACATTTATATATTTAGTTATTTAAATTATGTAGTTAGTTAGGTATACGCAGAAAACAGGTTTGCCAACCGCAATTAAACCCTGAAGAAGAAAAAGAAGAAATGTATATGCAGGCGAATTATCTCGATGGTGAATTACTGCGTTTGTACTGGGTGCAAAAACACCGTTAAAACCGGTCACAGAGTCCGCTTTTTGATGACAGCCGGGAGACTAGAAAGCTCTCAGAATATCAGCAGTGAACTCCGTGTCCGATTGGCACGCAGGGACTAAAATAAATAAATTAAACGCACTTCAGCAAACCTGACTGTGGCGAGGGGGTGTGATTTTGCAAATCTGTAGCAGGAGAGAAAGGATGGAGCCGCGCGGTGAGTAAGTAGGTCAAGTGCAGATGAACACCTGTGTGTGATTGCAGTAATTTCCGTGGAGAGACCGTATATAACCGGCGAATGAGCGAGAGAGAGAGATACCCCTTTTCCACCAAAAAATAACTGGTTCAGAACTGTTGTTGGTTCAACTCGCGAACCGCTTCAGATGTTTTTCCACTGATTAGAGCGCCCAGGGAACGACGTTGTTACGTCACTGTGTACGTCGCCATACATCTTAGCTAAAAACGCTTGCAAATACAACATTACTTTCGGATTATCTCTAACTCGTATAGTTACCAAGAAAGCTTAAAAAACAATTGAAATATGTAACTCTTTTAATCTTTTCGTTTGATATGTAATTTTTTCTGATAAGTTTTCTTTTTTTCTTTCCATTTATTTGTTCTATATTGTGACTTTTCTTCTTTGCTTATAATGTCTTCAATAAAAAAAATTCAAAAATAGAAACGCTTACATTAACTTCAAGCACAACAATTACAAAGGCGGACCCCATCGTGTTTCTGCAAATGTTTCTCTTTGCTTTGCGATCCTTTATTATGGTCAGAAAAGATGTTTAGAACACATCTAAACCCGCCCCAGCCCCCGACGTAAGCATGACATGGTAAAAGAACGGTTCTAGTCCAGCAAAGAGTTGGTGCCACTTTGGAACCAGTTCTCCCGGCCGAGAACCAGTTCTTTGGCTGTCGAGACACAAAGAACTGGTTCGCGTGTAGGCACCGGCTCCGAACCGCTTTTATAAAATGCTCTGGTGGAAAAGGGGCTAAATAGAGTTGGACTGGGATTTCGCACACGTCTACTGCAACCGAGACTGAGAAGCAAGTGTTGGATCGCGTGTTATGTTTATGGTGGCGAATGCGCTACTGTGCGCCACGTTTCTTTTTTGTTTTTCTGAATAAACGCGAGTCCCAGTTAAGCCGACACTGTCTTCTTCTTTCCACACACACTGAACCTCTTCACACTGACCTATTCTGATAGGCTACCGCGCATCTCCACTGCGTATCTCACAGTAGTTCCGCATTAATTAATTTGCATGCGAGTTTTATTTATTTCAAACCTGTATTCTCCATGTATATTCATGCACCGAACCGTGACGCCCGTACGTTTCGGCTCAATACGAATACATGTACCGTTCCACCTCTTAAGTTATGCCTATACTTACCAAGACACCTGATCAACTCTCCACTGGTTCTCTTCACAGCAGATATTTATGTTTCTTTAATAGGAATTATGTAAATTTCTGTTTGGTTCCTCATCTGTCTCACGCCTGGGAGGCTCAAAATTGTAAGGCTGTGGGCCATCGTAGGTTTGAGGGGGATTTTGGATCTCCTCAGACTCAAAACTCTCCATACTTGAATAGAATTAGTCACATCTCCCTCTTCTGATAACATTTTCACTCAGACATCTAAACATTTAATTTATCTAAAAAAAAAATTGAACCTGACAGACACACTTTAATTATACATTCTTTATTAATAAATTTCTAATAAATTGAACTTTATTTGATAAACCGCATTCGACCTATTAGATAAAGGACGCACGTGAGCTTGGCCGTCATCGTTTGACATGCTAACTCCCGCTGTGGTTGGCTCTTCTCTTCACACCTCTGACACACACTTAATTTTCTACATCCTCGTTACTTTCAAATGTTAAACTTGTTATTAATTTTGGTCTTTAAATTGTGTTTGTAACATTGACACCAATGTCATTAACTTTTCCATTAATCTTTTTAATGAGAATTACTGTAAATACAGTCCTGCATATGTGGAGAAACGAGGGGTTGGATAGATGTTTGGTGTGTGTGTGTTCCCCAGTGCCCGTCAGAAGTACGTGAGGCGAGCCTGGGAGAAGGCCGAGGTCAACAAGAAGTGGGAAGAGAGCAGCTGGGCCAAGAAGATCGAGGCCAGGAAGAAGGTGAGTTAGCTGTTCGCGCTCCACGGACACACACTTAGCACTCCGGCTGACTCGCGCGCACACACACTGTTAGCGCTCCAGGAGACACACACAATGTTAACGCTCTGCGGACACACGCACTGTTAGCGCTCCGGCAGGCACACACACACACACACACACACTGTTAGCGCTCCGGCAGACACACACACACACACACACACTGTTAGTGCTCTGGCACACACACATCCACACACTCTGTTAGCGCTCCAGAACATGCACTCTCTTAGCGCTCTGGCAGACACACACGCACACTCTGTTAGCGCTCCGGCACACACACACTGTTAGCGCTCCAGGAGACACACACAATGTTAACGCTCTGCGGACACACGCACTGTTAGCGCTGCGGCAGGCACACACACACACACACACACACACACACACACTGTTAGTGCTCCGGCAGACACACACACACACACACACACACTGTTAGTGCTCTGGCACACACACACCCACACACTCTGTTAGCGCTCCAGCAGACACTCACAACATGCACTCTCTTAGCGCTCTGGCAGACACACACGCACACTCTGTTAGCGCTCCGGCACACACACACTGTTAGTGCTCCGGCAGACACACACACACGCTGTTAGCGCTCCGGCACACACACTGGTATTGGGGGAGATGATTGTGATGTGAATGATTTGGATACTCATGATGCATTTCTTTCCCAGAGGGCAAAGATGTCTGACTTCGATCGCTTCAAGGTGATGAAGGCCAAGAAAATGGTACGTTTGCCCTGTTGGACTGAGTGTGTGTGTGGAACATGAGTATTTGAACGTGTGTTGGACTGAGTGTGTGTGTGGAACATGAGTATTTGAACGTGTGTTGGACTGAGTGTGTGTGTGGAACATGAGTATATGAACGTGTGTTGGACTGAGTGTGTGTGTGTGTGTGTGTGTGTGTGTGTGTGTGTGTGTGTGTGTTGGACTGAGTGTGTGTGTGGAACACGAGTATATGAACGTGTGTTGGACTGTGTGTGTAGTAACCACGAGTGTGTGTGGTGAACATGATTATATGAACACGTGTGTAGTGAACACAAGGTTATGAGTGTGCAGGGCTTGACATTAAAGCTTGTTCGGGACAAGTGGATTTTTTTGTAGGACAAGTAGAAGAGAAAATTGGTTGTCCGAAGTTACGTTTCAAACAATAAAATGCCATTTTACTTCACGTTATGTGCCACTCGTTACGTCTATTTTACAGCTTTAATTTTACCGATTTGAAACAAACATTTTTTGCACTGCCTGTGAATGTCCTGAATGTGACTCACAGAAAGACGCGCACCAGTATAATGCGCATGCACAGACCGTGCACCAGAAGTTCTCTTTCGCGCTTGAACAAACATCAACAACACACACAATTAAGCCAAAATGTAATTTGTTCGAGTATCTTCATAACATAAGAGTAGTCTTATGATGGACATAAAGAGTTGTGACTCGTCAGAGAATGAGGCGCGTGTGAGATCCTCTATCCACAGCGGCTGCTCTTAAAGGGCCAGCTACCAATAAAGCGTACTGTCAGTAAAGTTAATGAAAGAACAAAGGGAACAGAGATAATTACTCACTGCTCTTGACTAAAGAACTTGTGTAGCTTTAATAAGGAGTAGTCTATATATAATATGTAATTTATAATTTATGCAGCGCAGACTGTTTGATTAATTTTATTCAATTTCTGTATATGTCCTACCTGTTAGACAGTTAATTTTTATCCAGACATCAATGGCTTATTGATCATTATAGGTGTTATCAATCATTTAGTTGTTATTGCTAATTTCAGAATTATCACTAATCTGTGTGTGCATTTGGTTTAGAACCAAACAAGTTGACTCATGAAACCATTTGTTTGTTATATCGCAATCGCATATCACAACTGCAATATTGACCTTAATAATCGCTATATGATTTTTTTTCCCCAAATCTTGCAGCCCTAGATAAAATTGTAAATCTTACCCAGACAAGTGACTTTTGTGCATGGACAAGTGAAACATAAATTTACTTGTCCAAAGGACAAGTGCCTCAAAAAGTTAATGTCAAGCCCTGAGTGTGTGTGTAGTGGACACAAGGTAATGAACGTGTGTGTGTGTAGTGAATACGAGGTTATGAACGTTTGTGTGTGTAGTGAATACGAGGTTATGAACGTTTGTGTGTGTAGTGAACACGAGGTTATGAACGTGTGTGTGTGTGTAGTGAACACAAGGTTATGAACGTGTGTGTGTGTAGTAAACACAAGGTTATGAATGTGTGTAGTGACCGCTAGGTTTTGAACGTGTGTGTGTGTGTGTGGAACACCAGCTGATCAGTGTCTTCTCTCTGCAGAGGAACAAGATCATCAAGCACGAGATGAAGAAGCTCCAGAAAGCTGAACAAAAGAAAGCATAAACTATCATAAATAAACGTGTTTGACTTGTAAACTTGACTCCGAGCTTTAAGTGTGTTGTGTAGTTATGGTGTGTGTAGAGTTGTTGATTGTGTGTGTAGAGTTGATGTGTAAATACAGGAGTGGGGAAACACGGATTTGAGAAGTTCACACACTCACTACAGCCAGAAAAGTGAAATCTTAATCTCTCTAAAGGGATAGTTCACTTTGAAATTAATTTTTGATATGTTTTAGCTTACCTCAAGGGGATCCAAGATGTAGGTGTCTTTGTTTCCACAGCATTTTCTATTTTGACATTTTTCAGTCAAAGCGTTGTTGTCTCAGTCATACACTGGAGGTTAAGGGGGTCCACCAAAAAGCATGCACAGAGAAGTCAAAATTAAACCTGATTTAATTACATGGAAGCCCCAATAGTTCCAAAACAGACACTGGCTGTCATGCTCTTCAATGGACAGACAGCAGTGATTGCATTATTAAACAGTAAATATAAAATAAAACGCACACCAAAGTACTTTTTAAGCTTTTATTGCATTTGATTAATGTCAGTGTTGCATTTGGAGAGGCAGGGTGACAACTTAGATGTTTTTTAGGCTATATTTTTGGAGGGAAAAGCTTGTGTTCATGTTCGAATGGTAGTTGCACTGGCTTTAGCGGCTCTAACTTAACTTTTCCATGTCATTCATCTGATGATGGATGTCTCAAAAATGGCAAGGATTGTAAGTGGTTAAGATGTCACTTTACATCTTAAGTCAAATATATATATATATATAAAATGAATGTTCTATTTTATGGCAATAGGTTTTTTTCATTGCCATTACAGTGAAATAACTGAACACAAATATTCAAGCCTGTTAAAATTATAATTCATTTAAACCACTACATCTGAAGTCAAATATAATGTTTATATATATATATATATATATATATATATATATATATATATACACTCACCGGCCACTTTATTAGGTACACCTGTCCAACTGCTCGTTAACACTTAATTTCTAAGCAGCCAATCACATGGCGGCAACTCAGTGCATTTAGGCATGTAGACATGGTCAAGACAATCTCCTGCAGTTCAAACCGAGCATCAGTATGGGGAAGAAAGGTGATTTGAGTGACTTTGAACGTGGCATGATTGTTGGTGCCAGAAGGGCTGGTCTGAGTATTTCAGAAACTGCTAATCTACTGGGATTTTCACGCACAACCATCTCTAGGGTTTACAGAGAATGGTCCGAAAAAGAAAAAACATCCAGTGAGCGGCAGTTCTGTGGGCGGAAATGCCTTGTTGATGCCAGAGGTCAGAGGAGAATGGCCAGACTGGTTCGAGCTGATAGAAGGGCAACAGTGACTCAAATAACCACCCGTTACAACCAAGGTGGGCAGAAGAGCATCTCTGAACGCACAGTACGTCGAACTTTGAGGCAGATGGGCTACAGCAGCAGAAGACCACACCGGGTGCCACTCCTTTCAGCTAAGAACAGGAAACTGAGGCTACAATTTGCACAAGCTCATCGAAATTGGACAATAGAAGATTGGAAAAACGTTGCCTGGTCTGATGAGTCTCGATTTCTGCTGCGACATTCGGATGGTAGGGTCAGAATTTGGCGTCTACAACATGAAAGCATGGATCCATCCTGCCTTGTATCAACGGTTCAGGCTGGTGGTGGTGGTGTCATGGTGTGGGGAATATTTTCTTGGCACTCTTTGGGCCCCTTGGTACCAATTGAGCATCGTTGCAACGCCACAGCCTACCTGAGTATTGTTGCTGACCATGTCCATCCCTTTATGACCACAATGTACCCAACTTCTGATGGCTACTTTCAGCAGGATAATGCGCCATGTCATAAAGCTGGAATCATCTCAGACTGGTTTCTTGAACATGACAATGAGTTCGCTGTACTCAAATGGCCTCCACAGTCACCAGATCTCAATCCAATAGAGCATCTTTGGGATGTAGTGGAACGGGAGATTCGCATCATGGATGTGCAGCCGACAAATCTGCGGCAACTGTGTGATGCCATCATGTCAATATGGACCAAACTCCCTGAGGAATGCTTCCAGCACCTTGTTGAATGTATGCCACGAAGAATTGAGGCAGTTCTGAAGGCAAAAGGGGGTCCAACCCATTACTAGCATGGGGTACCTAATAAAGTGGCCGGTGAGTGTATATATATATGTGAAGAGTTCAGATGCAAAAGCCTCTAAATGCCATTTGAAATTTTCTTCTTTAATGAGGATTTTTTTTTATCAAACTTGTATATTCATTGCATTGTATAATCATTGCAATTTAAGTGAAATTACTGAACTTAAATATACAAGTTTGATAAAAATCATCATTAAAGAAGAAAATTTCAAATGGCGTTTAGAGGCTTTTGCATCTGAACTCTTCATATACACACACACACACTTGACTTCAGATTTAAAGTGACATCTTAAATTTTCGTCAAGAATTAGTTTTTATAAAGCTTTTATATTATCATATATAAGTATATATATATATATATATATACACAAACACACACACACACAGACATATTCAAATACATCATGCATAAGAAATGGGATCTAATACATTTATATTTATAAATAAGCAAACACAGGAAACAAGTGTCTTGTTGATTCAAATTGTATTTTATATTAAAACTATATAAATGTTTACAGATTGTGAGCCCTAAAACCTACTGTCACGTGAATGCTGCTGTGTCAATCCTTCGGCCAGGGTGGAGGAGCGGACCGGGGTGGAGGTCAGCTCCATCTTCAAAGTACAGCCGAGGGCTATTTCACAAAACCAAGATAGCGGATTAAGCCGGGATTTTCCAGATATTCTGGCTGAATTAAGCCGGGACTTGGTTTCACGAAAGCAGTAGCGCATACATGGCGATTTATTCTGTGCAGCTAGCCTGCTCCAGACCAGGCTAACAGCCAATCCTCGTGCCTTATCTGTTCAGTCAGCGGTCACGCCGATCAGAAACCAATGTGTTTTGTCAGTTATTCCGTTTTGTCATCTATGTGTTCAGCGCAATTTTATCAGCCTGCATTAAAATACCTCAGATACATATTGGCATTCAGTCAAGTATAGCCTACTATTATTATTGTAACATTATGATGGTAGCCTACCATTATTAACTATAATAATAATTATCCATATGGGCATTGTTACTATTCAATTGTGTTTTTGAAGACAGATAGGTCTTTAATAGTCTATTGTATGTAATGAGGGAATTAGAGAAATGGCTGATAAAGAAGCAAAAGTTTTGTCAATCAAGTCGGGCAATATAAGTAGCTCTAAACACATGTTTCGTCCCGTCCTATACAATGGCATGCCCATTTTTGGATGACATCTGATGAAGCACTTATATTGAGAAGGCCTTTCAGACGTGAAAGAGTGTTTTGGGACAGGTCCGACCCATTGGCTTTTCCCGACAACTACCTGCGTTAGGGTAGAAGTGGAGGAAAATGCCCCCCTTAAGGAAAATGTGACATTACTGTAAAACAAAACATAAATGTGACTAGAATTGCCATCCCAGTTTTGAGTGTCTTTGGCAGGAGTTATTCCAGTAGCACCTCAATGCAGAACATCCCACATAGCAAACAGACTTGGCCCAAATGTGGCCTCATCATGGCACTGCTGGCGTGTTGCCGGCAATGGCATGCATCATGTCAGCCAACTGTGGGCCAAGTGTGGCAATGATGGCACTGCGTGCATGACGGCAGACAACTTCTGGGCCGATTGTGGATGGGAGGTGTGTGGCCCACATCTTGTCAGCCAACTGTGGGCCAAGTGTGGCAATGATGGCAGTGCATGACGGCAGACAACTTTTGGGCCGATTGTGGATGGGAGGTATGTGGCCCAGATCAGTGTAGCGATTGTGGGCCATATTCTGTGTACTGGACAATTATAAGCCTGCTACTATATTTTCAAGGCAAGATTATACCCCACCCCGACCCCTCTGAAAAAGGTGTTAAGATTTTAATAATAAATAATAATAATATAAATTGACTTAAATGAGTCAGTGAAAAAATATATGTCAATTGTTTTAAAAAATGATTAATAATGAATATAGTATTTAGTTTTCAGCAATGTTTACAAAATGCTGTATCATTAAAAAATATACATTTACTAACATGATAAGTATTAGACCTATGATTTTTTAAGTATTAAACCTATTATTTATTTAATTTGTTTTTTTTTATAAATTTGTAATAAAAAAAAAAAAAAATCCACATCCAAGTCTAAGTTTTCCATACTTTTTATTTTAAGCACCACAAAATCATGTTAAAAATTTAATATCTGGATTTTTTTTTTTTTTTTTTTTTCGAAATAACAGTTTATTTAAAACAGCAGTCAACTATTGTTTTATTTCGGCGCGATTTCCATGGTAACAGCAGCTTTTCTGGTTGGTTCACGTGATGCGTCTTTTGAAATTTCTCCCGCTGAAGATTGAAGAAGAAGACGACATCTCAGACAACCGCTGTACGGGTAAGTGAAGTTCACTCTCTTTTTGGCGCTTTTTTAATACCTGATTTCAAACTCGGATGCCACTTTTTTCTTTATTGAAGTGAACTTTTGCCTGGTAGCTGATTCAGTTGCCCCTGAACATGAGAATGCCTATACAGACAGACGCGAACGGGGTGCGATCATGTGCGATAGACCGGTGCGGAACGTCCTAGGCGAGGCCTGTGCTTCATGTGTGCGAAACAATGTAATGTTAATGCTTTTAAAATTATAGGAAGATCACAGTAAATCCAGCAACCGCAATTGACTTATAAAGCTGAAAGTGATTCAGTGGTTGTATAATTGTATGATATCTAAATCTAATCGTGGCTTGTTTCACATGAAAAGTACATGTTTTTTTATTTGTGATCACAGACTGCTTATTTATTTTTGCTTGTCATGTATTGCTAGTCATTTCAGTATGCTATATTCGTAGGCGATTGAGAGAAAATAATAATACTGTACTATTAAAATATCTACATTGAAAGAATGAAATTGATAGCATAATTTTTATTTTTTGTCTAAAACAATAGTTCTCAACCTG